TTGGTTGAAATGAGACCTAGATGCTTAATTACAGACATTAAGCAATCTGGGGAATTCAACTGCTTAGAGAACTTCTGTACTAAAAACCCTCCATGATTAGAGGTACGGGCACATTCAGAGCAAGGTAGCAGCCTAGGAAGAGCTAAAAGTATCTAAGTTTTGAATTCAGGTTGCTCTCAGGTGGGAATCTAATGAACTTTCAGTGGACATGATCTGAAGTTTTGGAGCTAAGGTTTAAAAGAAATCCAGGAAATATTCTAAACTACTGCTTACAGAAGAGGGAACAATTCCTATCTCACTATTGGTTGGTTTATGCGGTTTCATATGTTACAAGTTGAATATAGGTGTGTTAAGAGATACAGGTATGAGTTTATGACATAGAAAAATGTCATTCCTCACAGAAAGCTGTGAAGAAGTATTCAATTCAATGAGATCATCATTTCTGCCTCTGAACAGTTTGTACCCTCAACACATAAGTATTACAACTCATATGTTCCATGTACAGACAGACTTTCTTTAGTTACACAATTATCATTATCATTATTGTACTTGAAAGCATAATAGCTTGTCCCAGTGAAATAAAACTCTTATATATATATTAATCCCGGAGAAATGTAGAACTGGGAAAGGGAAAAGTCCTGTCAGTAGTAATATTTACAGAAGAAGCTTCATGAAGGCAAGAGTAAATACAGGGTGTTGACAGATAAAGATCTACTTATCAAAATAATACTGTTTGAAACAATAACCAGCATGGGAACATTTTAACATTCCAGTGAATTTACTAAAGCTCCATCTTTACTTTCCTGGTTTATAGCACAGGTGACTAATCTATTGCCTGCAGCCTAGTTTCTGCCTGCCCAAACAACTAATCTAGCCTTTAAGTAGTCATGCAGTTTACTGGGATGGATAGGTTAAGAACTGTCCTAGTAGACTATTTCTAGCCACTCTCTTTCTCAGGAGTCACTTAGCCTTATAGTTGTTCTGTGTCTAGATATGTTCACATGAAAGAAATTAGCTTGATATGTAACAGTATTTTTATATTAGGTAATACAGGCTCTGGGAGAATGTAGTGGGAGAAACTATCTACCTAGCAAGAATTACCTCCTTGTATACTGAAGACTTTTGCATCAAGCTCATCAGTTCTCTGAAGGATTTCTGTATTAATCTTTTCAAATAGATCTGATTTTGGCCACAGCACCAGCATCAATATGGGGTTTCTATAATTGTATTCACTGGACCACTCAGTAACATCAGTGTTACAGCAGATTGTTGAAGTAGGTAGTTGAATAATTGTCTCTGAGGTGCCTCTACTACCGGAAATGAACAGCAGTACAAGGGCTTTCCAAAACATGTCAAAACCATTCTCATTCATGATTTATTCAAACCTTTGGCCCAATCTTTCCAAAGCCCAGTAAAACATGAGCATTGGTTTCTTTTCACTTTCTAGGGAGGCATAGTAGTGGCATAAAAAGTTGTTACCTCACAGAGATGTGTTTCTAATAAGTTGTACTTGCTGACTGACAGAAAAGCCTTCAGGCAGGCAAACATTGTGAGCTGACTAACACATCTGAGATTTGCTTGCCAAAACACAGGTATATTGTGCCATTTATGACATCTGAGGATATCCAAGGCAGCTGCATGGAACTAGAAGATATGATACAGAATATGAGGAAGATTCACACCCTTCAAAAATGGGTGGTTCCTATTAAACATCTGGACTACATGTAGGTAACCACATAGAATCATACATGTAGAATCACAGAATATCCTGAGTTGGAAGGGACCCATACGGATCATCAAGTCCAACTCCTGGTACCGCACAGGTCTACCCAAAAGTTTAGACTACGTGACTAAGTGCACAGTCCAATTGCTTTTTAAATTCAGACGGGCTTGGTGCAGTGACTTCTTCACTGGGCAGCCTGTCCCAGTGTGCAACCACTCTCTTGGTGAAGAACCTCTTCCTGATGTCAAGCCTAAACTTCCCCTGCCTCAGCTTAACGCCATTCCCATGGGTCCTATCACTGGTGTTTACAGAGAATAGGTCGCCTGCCTCTCCACTGCCCCTTGTGAGGAAGTTGTAGACCTCAATGAGGTCCCCCCTCAGCCTTCTCTTCTCCAGGCTGAACAGGCCCAGTGCCCTCAGCTGCTCTTCATATGTCTTCCCCTCTAGGCCCTTCACCATCTTCGTCTCCCTCTTCTGGACTCTCTCTAACAGTTTAATGTCCTTCGTGTACTGTGGTGCCCAGAACTGCACACAGTACTCTAGGTGAGGCCGCACCAGTAGAGTAGAGCGGGACAAAACCACATATAGGTACCTGGGTGTAGACAAACACAAGAGTGTGAATATGGTGTTGAATCTCCATTGTGTAGGCCTATTTTAGATACCTTCAGTGTAGCTATTCAGACACTCTTCATTTTAGCCTAAACACCTGCCTTCTGGAATCCTATCTGGGCTCCAGTTGTCTGTTCATGAAGGCACAAGACTCCTTTGGGTCTTTTGTCATGCTTGCAGCCCCATATAGGTGTTTTGCATACTGCAGTGCATTTCAGGTGACACTGAACTTCAGTATTCATCTGACTGAACTGAATTCCTAAAACTAGGTAAGAAGAATCCCAACTATGATTTCATATTTGAAATTCATGGTTTTGTAGAATGGAAGCATAATTTCCTCTAAGGCAGATGATATGTATAAATAAATGTATAAAAAATGTACTGCTAGTTATCTTTATATTGGATGTCCTCCTCCCTTTGTGGCAGCTTTTTCTTTTTCATTTTTCTCTCCTCCACACACACACCCCTCCCCCCTCAGTGGTAGCTTATGAAATAAAAACTCCAACAATGAACAATAGACTTAATTTTGCAATGATGGTCTCTTAACCACCAGAATTTCTGCCACACCATCCAACTTTACAGTGTACTGAGCATTGCCAAGAGAAGTCTTCTGATGACGGCATGAGAAGCCATCAACAGGTTCTCCAGAGCCATTCAGTGAAAGTCCATATAGCTTTTTAATGGAGAATGTTGTCAACGATTAGATTATCTTGCAAATACAAACCTGCAGAAGTTTCAACACCTTGTTTGTCAAAATGACAAATCATTGGTGGTTTTGATTTCAACAGTGGCACTTGACTAGTAGATGCCATAGAAGGCTGGGCCACAGAATGTTACTGAATCTACATTTGAAACTGAAAGGGTCTAATTATACTTTCCAAATGGTTAGTGTTTTATGAGGATTTATCAAGATTAATTATTGTGATTGTAAACAATTTGTCTTTGAATAATGTGAATATAAAGTGACTTCTTGAAATTCACACACTCTAATAAATAGAGGGGGGTCAGTGCCAGTTTTTGTTTGTATATTTGGAGCATTCATCAGTCACGTTACTGACATATAGTCAGTCCTCTGAAACACAACACAGCAAGTTCAGTTAAATTCAGACTGACAGCGTGAAAAGAAAGTTGGCAGAACACAGGGTCCCGTTGCTAAGCGATGCTTGGCAATACAACACACGCACATTATGGTGCTTGTGATGACACCATGAGGAGAGGAGATGTTTTCAATATAATGAAAATCCATCATTTCAGAGGAGTTAGGGAGGAGCAGTAGCCAACAGGGTGAATGGATGGGAGACATGTCCATAGGGAACCACATTTTGCTGTTAGTTTCATTAGCGTGAATACATTAACTTCATGAAAGATACTCTGGATTAACTGAGGAATCACTGTAAAATGTTCCAGACACTATGCTGAAACTGCCTGTAATGTTTTGTGAAAAAAATAATCCACGTTTTTCACAATGCTTCCAGCTTGCTTCTATGTCACCCCGGGTCAGTGTGAAAATTACAGATAACTCCATCTGGTTGTGGATTTCACAGTTGTCATTGTGTGCCTTCAGGTGACTGCAGCCCTCAGCGTGCCCCATTCTTGAGCTGGACTCAGAACAGCAACACTGGGCTTTCCCTTCTCCATCATATTCACAAGCACATATTGCCCTTTGGGCCCAAGAGGGGAACAGCTCACAGAGGATATCCTGAGGCTGAGGAGATGGGGCAGAAAGTAGAGGAGACCTTTCTACCTCATGGTCCCCCCTGCAGAAGTCTGTCATATGACTTCTGTCTGTTGTGTCCTTCATCCACATTTTATGTGTGAACCTCAGTCAGTTATCTTCCAGGGGCTTCCAAAGCCAAGTTCACAGAGCAGATCCTCCTAGAACCTATGTTAAGGCACATGGAAAATAAGGAGGTGACTGGTGACAGCCAACATGGCTTTACTAAGGGCAGATCATGCCTGTCCTCCTGCTTCCCCTCTATTCTCTATCATACTATTTCAGTGGGAGTTGGTTTTTTTTTTTGTTTGTTTGTTTTTTTGTAAGGCATCATTACTACTCTGACTCTGCTATTTCATATTTCATAACAGGGAGTCCAAATTTACTTCAGCTCTGCGGCTTTCACAGTTATCTGTAACCAGTCCCTGCTTAGTCAAATAGAAAAGAAATGGATATAAATATTGACTTTTATTAAATCAGTGACAAAAACTACATTGGCTTTATGTCTATTGCTAAACAATGTTAACCAGGAGTCCTTTCTAGTTTTGGAGTCTTGCACATCTTATGGCTTTATCCTGACAAAAATACCTATTATATTATATTCAGCCTTTCTTTGCTCTTGTTTTTACTGGGAGAAAAGTCAGATGTAAAAACAAGAAAGGGTCAGTGGTCTGGATGGTACAGGACTGCTCTGCTGTTAAGCAGTGACAATGAATACCAGGTTTTCACCTATATATCCCATATTAGAGGATCACAAAAAGGGCAGGGAGAACAACCAGGAGGGAAGGTCTGTCAGTCATCAAATCTGTGCCTCCAAATGGTAGATTGCATGTCTATTGTGAAATCTTTGCTTGAAATATAGTAAAATCAGTATTTCAGAATCAGCTATTGTTCTGTGTTTTGAATGGCTTTAGGAGGAGCCATTTTAAGTTCACTCAAGGTTTTCTCTTTTAGGTGCTGAAACTTCTGGAACCAATCAAACAAGTGTTGAAGAACATAACATAAGAATAAAAGAAAACCCAGTGAATCCCAGGAATGAATGTGAGTGTTTTGCTGGGTCAGACCAGCATGTCTGGAGTGTCACAAGACAGACAGATGTCTCTGTGTCTGTATGAGAGGTGTCACTAAACATGGAAATTAATTGGTGTTAGAGAGAAAGGATTTTAGTCAGTGATTTTTGTCATCCTTACTTCACACTAATTTAATTTAAAGATACCTTCCAGTCAAGCTATTACCTCTCTCCTCGGTATTCCTACCAAGATCGGATGTCCTTTCTGATATGGTAATCAACAAAATTTTAATATGCACTGAATTTAATGAGAAAACACAGACTTTCAGGCTGTGGGCTGGTTGTGTACATTGTGAAATTGCTTGCAGAGTGAAAGTGTTCTCTCACAGGGGTGAGGACAGGTGTGCATCTATGCATTCATGCACACATATATACAAAATTCACTCCTTTTCAACATGGCTCTTCCCTACCTGCAGCAGGATAATCAAAGGAACTTGAGAGTCTATAAGCCTTTCTGTTGCATTTTTAGTGAGCTAATAAAAGTCAGATCAGATCAAGGGGTAAGTATTCTTCATATGGAACAAATATTTTTAAAAAGTAAGTGTGGCATGTGGCTTTTAGCTAAATAATTTGAAAAGCAACAAAGTTTGAAGTCCTTTTTTAATACTAGATGTTTTATTATACTGTATTATCAAGAGTAATGGCAGTGATTTTTCACACCAAGCTAAGAAATTACCTTAGACTTCATTTGAACTAGTCACGTAACAAAACTATTTCTGTCTGTATTTTTGTGGAGGAAGAACATAGATCAAAAATACAAATTCTATTCAAAGTTATCTTCAAAGAAATGAACAGGGAAATTTTCCTGTTATTTTGACAGCTAAATAAAGAATACAGGAGAATTAACCTGTTTTTCTTGCACTTTTTTATGCTTGTTTATCTTGGTATAAAACAGAGGAAAGATGTTTGACCTGTTTATTTTATAATTAATTTTATTGTTACTACTATGTTTCAAAAGCATCTGATGAGAATAATAGAACTTTTGTGTTTATACATTGTGCAATAATATCTCATTTATTTTATTCAGCAAGTCATGTTTCAAAGATAGTAAGTTCCGACATGAATAGTCAAATACTGTTGTAGGGTTCTGTTTTCTTTTTCTTTCAGAGACAAGTGTGCTGTTTCTTCACTTCCCTTATCTCTTTCAGTCTAACACCATCGTGTTACTTTTCTCTCATTAGAATCCTTTTATGCCTTCTACCATAGTTTTTTTTTCTTTCTTTCCTTTTTTTTTTTTTTTTTTTTTCCCCTCCTGAAACATTTCCCTTAACATACTGTACTGGTATCTTCTATTTGTTCTTTTAAATTTTGATACAGCTTGTACTCCATAATCAGCATATCAGTGTTAAAATGAAACAGAAAAAAAAAAAAAAAAAAAAAAAAAGAAAAAAAAAAAGAGAAGAACAAGAGATTCATTCCTGAATAAAAGCTGGAACAACTTTGGTAGTTATTTTCTAGCCTGTCCTAGTAATAAACAAACTGAAGTTTTTTTTGTATCCTGCACAGTACTTCCCACGTTGTTAGGTATGATCAAATGAATAGCTGCTATGTTGTCATAGAAATTAATGTTTTTTCTTTGTCTGGGAAGCCTATCCACAAAACTTAAACTAAATGTAAAGTAATCCCTTGGTTTCATAAGAGTCCTTTTTTGGGGGGTGGGACAACTTGAACCGAATCTACTTAGCTTAGTTGTCTGGTGAAACCGTGCCTAAAGGAATTGCCAAAGTTCACAATACTGCTAGTAGGGGTAGAAAAGTACCCTTAACTGCTTGATTAAAATCAAAAATCAAAGGTGGGAGGTAGAGAGAGAGAGAGATCTACTTAAAATTAGACAAATATATTAGCTGAATAGGATATCCCTCAGGATGCATTTGAAGGTACTTCAATTGAAGTAAGCTGACACTTGTTGAGGAAAGTAATATGAACATTTTTAAAGGGAGGTGAGAGTGAAGAAGCATCTCAGTTAGGGGAGTTTGGTGTCCTCTTTGCAGGACACAGATAAATGCCATTTCATAAAGAAGTAGTACTAGAATTATGATGATTTTTCATGTGCATGCTGATCTTCACTCACAGTCTGAGCTTCCTTATCTTCCTTATCCTTATCCGCACTAGAGACATGTTATATCCTTCTCTTCTGCTGCAAACTGCATCTGCATTGTCAGTATAAAAAAACATGCATGACTAAAGTGATAAATAGATATTGAGCAAGTTACAGCATTGCCGGAAAAAAAAAAAAAAAAAAAAAAAAAAAAAGACACTTTATAGCTATATTAAATAAAAATATTCCTCAAAAAAGGACACTGACATTTGACAACAGTAGCAAGAACACTTGCTACTTCCATTTAAAGCAAGCAAATCCCTTAACCAAGCAGCTAACTAACTAGAAAAAAAAAATCATAGAAAAGAAGTGAAATAGTTCAGGATCATGGTAACCCGTTCCACTGTCCTACATCAAATCGTCATTTTGAGCCAAAGAACATCATCGCTAAACCATGAAGAACAAAAGCAAAAATACTGTGAAAATGAAGGAACAGTCAGTCTCATAAAACAATTGGTTTTTCTCAGCTTTACACATAATTTCTGCAATTCTAAATCAGTTTTAGGTTGAATCTGACTTTTAGAACAAATTAAAAAAAATAAGGCCTCAAGCTTCTCTAAGACTGCCATCTCAAGAAAACCTGTTTATCACCTATTGAGTAATAAGGATACAGGTTCTGTAGTCAATTGATTTTGGTGGTTAATGAGTTTGACCTGAGGCATATAGATGGTGAACCAGGACTCTGTCTGAATAAAACCAGTGAGTATTTCAGGCTTATTGCAACAGAAATTAAGCTTAATAAAACACAAGCAAAACAACCTCCTGCTTCCCATATTCTGAGAATCTAGGCAGGATTACCAAAAGGTTATGTTAATGCCATAGCTTTTGTAATGCTTCCTTCAACTCTGAAGTAAAAGTAATAAGAAGAAAGTGATCTGAAAAACAGTTTTATACTCTTACTATAAAGACAAGCTGTATTTGTCCTCTATCATATCCTATTCCAAATCAAGGCAAAGCTAAATTAATTTTCTGTATTTTGTTCCATTTAGTGAATGAAAAGTCTAGTATTGTTATCTAGGGCCACTGTTTAGCAGACTAAGGATATTATGCACAATCCCAAACTTTAAGACAGGTGAGTTTTTCCTTACTATATTGAAGTTTTCAGGAGTACAAGTTGTGTCAATTGATGGGAAAATAGAATCTCCTGTTATAAAAGACAGACACTTCCACCCCATGCATCCTCTCTGAGTGAAAGCGGCAGGAATCATGGTCATTGAACATTTCTTATACTGAGGAATGACACTTCCTGGAATATGTAAGAAGGGCCAGGATCAGTGGTGAGAAAGTGCCTACACACCTCATTAGATCAATAACACACAAATAAGTAGGCATAAATCTTTTTGGGAGATAAAAGGTAAGACCATTAACAATGAAGAGAGGTATTCAGTAAATCACTGTAAATAGAAATATCACAGTTAAGTATGACCATCACCTCAGCAACTCAAAAACCTATGTGGGACAAAAACCTATGTGGGACAACTATATCACTTCTACACCTTTCTGGATGCTGATAGGAAGTTTTCTTGCTCCCACTTAGATTAGAAGATGAGAGGGACTGCCAAACAACTATATTGAAGTTTAATAAATATATGCTTGTTATGTGACGAAGAACCTAAACTTAGCAATAGGATCAGATTTTTCACCTGATAAATTCACTTGTCTTTTACTTTTGCCATTATTTGGAGGGGTAAAGTGGGTAGGGGAGGGGAGGAGCAGGAGGTGCATGATATGTTTGTCTGGTATAATAGTAATAATGCAGTGAAGCATCTGAGTAACAGATGTTTCATCATCAAACAGAGTACATGGAAGAGAGTTGCCAGGTAAGGCCAGGTGAAGAATCAAATCCCAATGTAATTGGGTTTTATGGGAGATGAAGTGGAAAGCCACATGAAAGCAGTAACTGGTTCAGCCTGCAGCAACTTGCCTCCTAAAAGTATTTAGATGGTAGACAGAACATCACACCAGACCTCTGCTCCTTTCCTTGGCTCCTGCTGGTAGCTCAAAATTACTTCAAGATGTTGGTTCTTCAGCTTTAACGAATGCTTTCCTGTGCACCTTGAGGCAGCTGAGATTAATGGGGATGCTGCAGCCTAGGAAGCCCCCAGTGGAAGATCTCTACCACACACGGCACAGCACCCTCTGCTGTGACACTGCTTAATCCCAGAGTTCAGGGAACGTTTGTAGCTTGCCACCTTTCACACAAAATGTCACATTCCCTTCTTTGTGCAAGTGCCTTGTAATAGCTGTATTTGCTTACAGAAGGGCTTGGCACTATTTTGCCTAGAGGTAATCCAAGGCATAAACTGGCATAAACAAGTGAGGGAGTGGAAGGCACACTCACAGGCAGAAGTCACTGCCTGACTACATACATGCTGTTAACCCATCATGGAGAAACTTGTATGAATGCCAAAGTGAAGTAGGTTAGCTAAACAAACAACTCCTGATTGCAAAGCTGTAGAAACATCCAAGTCACACATGCATGTCAACTACAACAACAACAACAACAATAAAATAAAAAAGGAAAAAAGTCACTACAAAGCTTGACTTTGGAGCTGATCTATGTCAGGGGAGAATGGACACCTACACTCTTGCACTCTCTCTATGCTTGAGCTTCAAGAGAGGCAAGGGTATGTTTCTCTTGGTCAGCATGGAATGAATTGCAAAGGCTGTCTTCTCAAACTACTGGCACAGGCCAAGTGTTTGGAGGGTGAAATGAAAAAACAGTTTCTTTAGTATATTTCTCCAATATTGTAACAAAACCCCGTACCACCAGCAGGAAAGGATTAAAATTCTGTGTTAGTGCGGGTGGAATGGAATTTGGAAGGAATAAACAAAAATAATCCTGGGCATGATTCCAAGGGAGTTCATAAGAAGAATGCCACAGGAATAGTGTCTGTCAAAAGACAAGAGTCTAAAAACAAATTGATTCAGCTTTCAGTGCCAAGAAGATTTGAATACAGGGAAGAGTCTCCATCTTCTTGAGTGAAGTTACGCACAAAGATTGTAAGCAGTGAACAAGACTTTCAAAGAGCCTTTCTGGTAATGAGAGAAGTGAGAATATCTCTGAAGATAGCAGTCTATTTTAAGCTACATGAAAAGAATAAACGGACTGAATTCCCTTCCCTATGACATTTTGAAACCCCCAAAAGCAAAACCCACAGCATTTGGAAGTTAAGCCTACTAGGCAAACATACTACAAAAATTAAAGATAAAAACAAACAAACAAACAAAAAAGGAGACAGAATAACACCAAGGCAAGGGAAGCTGACACTGTCAAGCTGGCCAAAAGCAGGAAGAGGTCATTATGAATTAAGATTTCAAGGTTTAAGATGCTTAAGTGGTTGTGAGGATTCAAATTCAGTGCTGGGATGATTTTTCATGTGGTCTTCCAGAAAGATGAGTTTCCTATATAAATAAATAAATAAATAAAAGAAAACAACCAAAATTCCCCAAAGAAAACAAACAAAAAATGCCTATATGTAAGTAATTACAGATGAATAATAATAATAAAAAGGAATCAGATGCAATATGTGCTTCATTTTATTGGGGACTCAACAACTGTTACAATAAATTTTACAGACAGACAGATGTGGCAGCAATTAACAGATAAAAGCTTTCTATGAGAATTCACAAAAGTGTGGAATGAGTTGTGATCCAGTGAGCACAGATGAAGCTCCATATATCTGTAGGGACAAACATGAGAATTTTCCTCCAGCCCTGAAGGACATAAAATGTTCAAAAGAGATTCCAGCAAAATGGAGGATAATGATAATATTAGTGAATTAATATTGAATGAAAGGAGACTCAGCTCTTCAGAAAACACTTTCTGTAATCAATGTAAGACACCTAGGACATCTGATGTGGTCTACAACCCTAGCTGTCACACTCTGAAGAAATAATAAGCAAAAGATGGAAAAGCAGCTCAGATCACTGCTAAATTTTGCATATGATGTTTTTTGTTGAAGTGTTCTTGCATGGCCAAGTAAACCAGTTATGTGCCTTGAAGTTAAAGTAGGATTAAAAAAAAAAAATGCTTGTTTCAATATGTCTGTGTTATGAAATGGAGAATTCTAGAGAATTTTGTCACTGGAGGGATGACCCAGGATACTAGCCAGAGTTGGATTTAACCACCATCTTTCTATATGATAATAGATGATATATAATCTTGTATGTCTTCATTATTTACATATGTAAATCAGGTGTTCTTATACCACTGTAATGGAAAATTTGGTGGGGGGGATAAAAATCAGGAATTATTGTGAACTACTTCAGTACTGCCTTAGTGAAGAATACACAAGCATCAAAAGATCTTGGCAAAAATCAGTCAGGCCAAAAAAATAGGTTGCTAGCTGATACCTAAAATTCCAAAGACAAAAAAATTAAGAGTTCAGAGTCATCAGTGGGACAGTTCTAAACAACAGAAGTGATGAGAGTTGTGGATAAAACAGTGCAGTCAAAAGCAGCCCTTCTGTCACCTAGAAAATAACATTGTATTAAAAAAAATAACAGATTTATTCCCTTATACGCTGATTCTTAGAAAAGAACAAAGTGATAAAATGCAGAATGCAAGCAATTGTACAACATCAGAGAAGCAGAAAGCACAGATTACATTTTAAATGAAACCTTGGAACATGCCAAGATCTTGGCCATCAGTCCAAAACTTAATGCAAGGGTTGAAGGCCCTCTGATTGCAGCATAGTGTTTCCTTCAGCTTGTCCTTTTATCTTACTTCACTAGAGAATAAACATTTGTAGATTAAAAGCCAAAGATCCTATTATGGTTCTTCAGTTTCTGTTCCTCAAACTGAGATGCTGAGGTTCTTTAAGTACATATTTCATGGCAAAAAACTGTGGAATTGCAGAGTGCTTCTGCATCATCCACAGCATATAAAGCAAAGATGAAGAGTATCATGTGATTAGATCTCCAAAACAAGTTTGCATTCACTCATCTTATATTGTCTGGTTAAATTCATAGAAATTCTTTGTGGCACTAGCACATTAGTCTACAGAACCTCTTTTCATGAGATACTTTCAGCATTAAAGAAGATGTTAAATGCAGCCTGTTCTTTTCACCTGCCCCCCAGACCATCTCAGCTTAGACCACTTCTTGACAGTGTGCAGAAGAGCCTGGGGAAGATCTCTCATCCTCAGTATTCACAGCCACCCCCACTCACAGCACCCACGTTTCTGCTTTGCCACTGGTGCTGTGTGGGCAGGCAATTAGTATGTGGCTTGCAATCTCCATCTATGGAGTGGGTTTCTAAAGCTTCGTGTGTCTCATCTACTTCATTCTGGAATCCACCCCAAACCTCCCACCAGCCAAAAATCAAACAGCTTTACTTAATTCTTTCCACACATACCTCCTTCAGGCAGACTAATGATCTGGGGCTGCTTGTTTCTTTATATTAGGAGGGTGCAGCTCCTCCAACACAGTAACCATTTGATGATATTCAGAGTAGTGTCTTTCATATCCCAAACTTTTCACTATCCTGTCAGCAGCTCCTTGTGAATTCCTCTCCATCACTGGTAAGCAAACCTTAAAAATAAATAAATAAATAAATAAATAAAATAAAATCCACAAAGCCTTCATTTTCTCTGGACCTGATAATGTTAGATATCCTTTCCTTTCAGTGAGAAGACTATTTTGTTTTACAAAGGGTCTTTGGGTCAAGAGAGTTTTGGGTGTAAGCAGATAAGATATATTAAAATTGCCTCTCTGAGATTATAGGTGCCTTGTATATCAAGTTTGACCAAAATATGTTTTGAAATGTCCAGGACACTGTGTTCTGTAAAAAGTAATTGTGAGTGGAAACTTTGAGCAACTTGCAATAATAGTACTGCTGCTGAGCAGCATTATGTACTGATATATTTTCAAAAACAATCCTTTATGTGTCTATTATTTTTATCACTTTGTTTCTTTGTTTTCCATTTCTTCAAGATCTTACAGTTTCTGAAATGATAGTATGAAACCAACGCAAACATTATTTTATAGGGAGTTGTTTCCAAGGACAACCATAAACAGTTTTAGCCACTCTGGGATTACTCCCTGGGTAAAACTGGAATGTTACCAAACCCAGTACATCTGTGTGGGCAAAGGCCACTCCTTTGCAGAGGTCTAGCATGGATCCTGACCACCAGCTAAGTTGCCCTCATGCTGTTGGGGTATGCAGCTCCAAGTCCCTGTTTCATACATGCACATGCACATATGGCCATAACAATGCTCAGCTGGAATCATGCATGACTGTGGGAAGCGGCATGATATCAAACCAACAGGAAGCAGTGGAGGAGTAGCTGAAACCAGTCCAGCGTAGGGGACACCCATATTGAGAATGGAGGAGGAAAATATCTGAGCTGAACATGTCAGGAACAGGGAAGTAGACACAGCCCTAACACAAAAGCATCTTCCTACAGCTCTGCATGCAAAAACACACACACACACAATGTCTAAATCAGACCTATACAGGCAGAAAGTTTCATAAAAAAAAAAAAAAAAAAGAATAGTTGTAATATTTATAGAAGTAAAGCATTTTCAGGTACAGATTATGATGATGCACTGCAAACCGTATCAGACCCACTCCCCACTACATCCTTTGTCAGTACTCTATGAAAAGAATCTTCTTTCCAGCAACATACCTATTAGAAACACATGCAGGTCTAAACAGGATCAGTTCATTTTGTTGCTGGTTGTTCAAATATATATTCACTGGTCTATTCTTTCCATGAGGATCCAGAATTCTAAAAATGTAGATGGTAGGAAATACTGTGGTTTTCTACTGTGCTGTAACATTTTAAACTACATATTGGTGTCTTATGATCCATAGGACAGATAATTGTGTAAAGTAAATGATGACTGTATTTTATTGGCAGTTAAGATTAACTCACTCATGGGCTTTGCATGTCTGGGCACTGATATGTGTGTGGGCTGTTTACCTGGGAAGATTCCTTCTCCATACAAAAAATATAGATGTCAAAGGACCAGAGCGTGAAAATCCCACTCACACCCATGAAAAATTTTTCACCTAAGACCACCACTGCTGTTGTCCGATTGTGGGTGGACTAAGTGATTATTTAGTAATAGGATTACAAGGGTGAACAATTGCTCAATGATTACAGTAAAGAGTTCACTAATTGCCTAAAGGGATTGATTGGCCCACTCCTCTGGCTAAACAAAAGCCAAAGTCTTCTTTTGGGGGCAAATTTGAATACAGTCATTTACTTAATTTGTTGCCTGATGTGTTGGTATTCTTTGGAAATGAATGTGTCTGTCTTCATTAAGAAGAAAATATTTGCTTATATTAACAAGTTTGTTTGTTTGTTTGTTTGTTTGTTTTCAGCTAAAGAAATCTACTCTGATGACTGCTTTATTGAAGATTCAGAAGAGAGGGGTTGGGGGGGGGATTGTATGAGTAGAATCCAAATGCAATAAAAAGTGCAATTAACAATATTTGATAGTTGCTGTAAAGCTGAGAGCAGGACCTGTTGCTCATGGCCAAATTACAGGTTGGAGCTATTCAGATGGAATATAATATACTGCTATTTCAAATATCCTCTGCAGTTTTAACTTATATATATATATATATATATGTATATACACTTCCTGGATGGAATTCTTGGAGTGAGTTGCTGCGTACGGCTCTGCAGCTACTAGCTTTCATCTCTGAAAGAGATGAATATGTGTCTCAGCCAAAAATTGTATGGATGAACATATGGCTAAATTCCAAGGCTGTTATGCAGCCTTTTATAGTCCTTCCTTCTCAGACCTATAGATGGGCCTTATAATGCCATTTTGTCCTGTATGTGTCAATGAAAATGCCCTCCTTTCTCCAATAGCTCACATAAATCTCTAGTTGATGCAAAGCATCATCACAGCACGAAGAGAAAGCCTGACAGAAGAGAGAGACAGTCAGTTCCTGAAGACCCTTGATGAATCAGAACAAGAAAGGAATAATGTTCAGAGCCCTAGAGAGTAGCATGTCCTGGAAAGGTAGATGAAGAGTGGCACCTACATGAGCCCAGCCCAAGGGGAAGAGTTCCTGTAAAGCTGTTGAAGTCTGTACTGGGTCTGGCTGGAATGTTAACTTTCCCGGCAGCAGCCCACACAGTGCCGTACTCTGTACTTGTAGCTGGAACAGCAGTGTTATCACACCAGTGTTGCGTCTACTGCTGAGCAGCAGTGGCACAGTATTAGGCCTTTCTCTAACCCTCCTGGGGGGTGGGCAAAAGGTGAGGAGAGAAACATCACTAGGGCAGCTGACCTAAACCAATCAAAGGGATATTCCATATCACGTCACACTCAGCAATAAAAGGTGGAAACAGGAAGAAGAGGTGAGGGGTGGGCTCTCGTTGGGTAAACGTCGGTCCTCCTCTCGAACACCGGCTGCGTGTGTTGAGGCCCTGCTTCAAGGACGTGGTCAATCATCGCTCATTTATGGGAAGTAGAGAGTAAATTCTTTCCTCTGGACTTACATATAGCCTTCATTTATTTTATTTGTTTGTTTTCCTCCTTTCTTATTTTTCCCTTTCCCTCTCCCTTTTTCCCCTTCCCCTTTTTATTTCCCTTTAGTTAAATTGTTTAGTTCATAATAATCTTTATTTAATTATTATTATTATTTCCCTTTAATTAAATTATCCTTATCTCAACCCATGAGTTGTTCTTTGCTTTACTTCTCCCCCTCCTCATCTAAAAGAGGGGGAGTGAGAGAGCGGTTGTGGGGTTTAGTTGCCCAGCACGGTAAAACCACCACACAGTCTTATTGGTGTGGTAGTCCCCTGGGGCAGCAGAGGCCACCTTCTGGTGATTCTAGATAATATCTGGTAGTCTGAGAGCAGGATTAGAAACAAAGGATGCTCAAATTCTAATATTTATTTAATTATTTGTCACCTCTCGTATCTAGAAAATACCTAACTGCATCTTGATTTTGCTGCCAGGTGAGGAGTGTGGGAAAAGTAAGTAAAGGTAAGGTATTCGATTAGTTAAAGTACACAGGTGCTTTGCAATTGGACAGCTTTTTGTAGTTGCTATATGTAACATTTGTATTTTTACAAGCAGGCAGTAAAATCCACATGACTTGGGACTCCCAAGCAAAAGTGACTTTCTCTTTCCAGAGGTGCAGAGAACTCTCCTCTTCTGACAAGTGGAAGAGTTGGTTGTTGAACACAACTGAAAATCAGTCAAGCATATAGGATATAGTTTAAAATTAGTATTGGAAATATTGAAATCTAATTGCAATTTGAGAAAACATGGTCATCTAGTTTACACTGGATTAATATGGTATTTACTTTTTTGCTCTCTTTAGTTTGAAAGCAGTCGAATACCAATAGGACAACATTCATGACTGAGTTAAAAGGATAGACAATTCTTCAACAGCCAGCCTGAAAGATTTCTATGCCTACATTCTTCCTGGTGTATGAACAGGAACCTTAGTTTGATTACACACATCACTGTCATGTCCCTATTGTATATTTTACCCTAGGCACAAACTGAGTTAATATTTTATTAGGCACTCATCAGTTTGAAGAAAAGTAATGGTGGAAGCAAAGTGATGGAACAGTCATTTGCATTCCTATGAGAATCTTACAAGTAAATAAAGTTGCTTAAGAAAAAAAGAAAGAAAAAGAAAAAGAAAGAGAAAAAGAAAAAGAAAAAGAAAAAGAAAAAGAAAAAGAAAAAGAAAAAGAAAAAGAAAAAGAAAAAGAAAAAGAAAAAGAAAAAGAAAAAGAAAAAGAAAAAGAAAAAGAAAAAGAAAAAGAAAAAGAAAAAGAAAAAGAAAAAAAGAAAAAGAAAAAGAAAAAGGTGAGAGTGAAGCTCTACATTCCTGCAGTTATTCCCAGGACACTATCTATCTACCTACTATCTACCAAAGCAAATGTTATTAGTTTAATTTAATAGACACGTAGCTCATGGCCAGCAACTCAGTGCTCATTTCACGGAACAGAAAATATACCTTTCATCTGGTCAAAAAAAAGGGTGGAGGGGTGGAGGGGGGGAGGGCAGTGGAATTAAGTGGAAGTTAAAATCATAGCCTTCAAATACACACAAAGAGAGATTAATGCAATTAGCAAAATAAAGTGTATGTTTTCACTGAGGAAAATGTAAAACCTGACAGAGCTATTTGCCTAGCATGAATATTTTTGTTTGTTTTCAGATATTGAGTCTCATGTCATAGACTTCTACTTAGCTGTACTTTCAGGTGAATTTTTTTGGCAAATAAAGCTAGACAGCCAGCTACCTGGCTACAAACTTTAAGAGTTTGAAATTATTATTATTTATTATTAAATCTAAGAATTGGATCCCTTCTGATCCAAGTTTGCATAGCATTTGCTTGAGCTGAAATTAGGGATGAAATACAATATTTCATTGTACCCATCTTAATTTCTCACACATCACATGAATTCCTTTACCTTCAGTATGCACAGCCTCATCTGTGATTTGTGTGAATTGGATGGCAGATCTGTTTGTGGAAAACTAAAGAAATACATGTTGTCACAGCCATTGTATGGCTTTTTCAATGGCTGCAGCTTTATGACTCAAATTTTTAAGCCCAAGTGGCTTTTTAGTCACAAGGCCTTAACAACCATAATCATTTTAAAATCAAATGCAGCAACAAAATGTCAGACTGCTCTGACAAAAATATAGGTAAATAATAGCAAAGAAACTTGTAGAAGTTGAGATTAAATCCAGCTGTAAGAGCCTAACTGCAAAAGGTAACATGCATTCCATTGTAACATTCAGTGTGAAAATTGTACAGAATTTATAGGCTTTTTAAAGCACTTTGAAGATCGCGGTCAACTTAACAGAGGGGTGATACTTTTTACTCTAGGACAGCCATTATGTAATCACTGTGTTTGTCTAGCTTGGGATGTAAAAGGTAGCAGAAAAAGGGAAATAATTTGCTCTGTGATTTCTAGTGATCAACTCAGTTTTTATGTTTCAGTGACCAGCAACCTTAGCTTTCCAGCTCAAACAGTCCCCAGCTGGGATTTAACTGGGTGGAAGTAACTGGTCAACCTGCTTATATCTCTTGGTCTCTTTATTATTTATATGAGAACAAGCCTCTTTCACATCTTGCAGTTGGGTTTTGGCACCTAACATGACAAAAGAAGCTCTTTGATGACCTGGTTTCTACTTATTTTCCTCTGCATCCTGTGATGACACTAGCATCAATTATCTTGACACCTTTCTTGGCCTTGACACAGATTTCACAGAGAAGTGGAGCTGCTGAAGGACTGTGTTGACACTTGTGATTCATTCACAACCTAAACTGCCACAATTTTACCCTTTTCTCACAGTCCCTGTGTGCTTTAGTGGATGGCAGGAGACCTTTGATGCCATTTTTTTTACAATTAAATGGCTTCCCAACTAAATGGCTTCCCACCTACAAAATTCCAGTAAGTGTTCCTGAACATTCAAAGGCAGAGGCCACGACTGATTCATGCACCATGAACACAAATACAAACCTCAAACATATGACAAATTCTCATGCTTAGTTTACAGATAATTTGTTATAGGGTGAGAAGAAGAAAGAATAAGTAAAACATCTTCTCACCTATTTGGATCTGCATTGATCTCAGATCTGAACCAAGCTCTCCAAGCCTGTCTTGCTTCTCATTTATATGTCTGATTCAGCTTCCATTGAAGTCAATGGAGGGACTCCCATCGAACTTGACGGAATGTAGATAAGCTCTTATGGTACCATAAATCAAAAGCGCAAGTCTTATTTATTGCTGTTGTGAGCATCATAGCAAAAGGCTGTGTCAGCAGACCTGCTAAAACCTAACATATTACATGGCTTATAAATTTGCCATAAAGCTTGACTAGAGACCAAAGCTTGGCAACAAAGCATATGTCTTTGTTATGCATTAAAGTTTCCTTTATTTTTACAAAATACAAAATATTTTGGTGTGAGTACTAAAACAAAGAGTGGGTTTCGTTGAGTTCTTTTATTTCCCATTTTCTCCTTTCTATATCTATGAATCTGAACCAGGATGTTCTCTTAGATTTTAGCCCTGCAGACCTGTAGTAGTTTTTATCCTTCAAATGTCTAAAGAGAAATTAGATGACTGCAAGAAAATTTGCCTGCTAAAAGGATCCATGTTGTAGCCTCATGAAGGAGTTTGTGAGACTAGTTGACATGTAGTTATGTTTAAAAAAAAAAAAAAAAAAGTCTTCCTGTGTTATCAGCATTACTCCTATATTTGTGTGTGTGAACATATCCACCACACTGTCTACACTCAGGTTTGCCTTGTTGTCCACAAAAATGTAATCTTAATCTAATAGACTATCCCTAATATGTTTCAACTATGGATGGTACTGTATAATTATGCCATGAGCACGTGCTCTGATCAGACATTTGGGAACACTAATAGCAATCTGTCAGTGCATTGGTTTGATATTCCCTTTCATTTTTAGAGAACACACTTAATTCCTTTCTCTCATAACATTTGCTTATATCTCAGTCTGAATTAACATTTTGACAGAACTTGGTTATTTTTCCTTTTGAGGTCCTCTGTGAAAGTTTTTGCCATTTTTGGTTTGTTTCTTGAACATAAATTTGTGTCTGATATAGTAAATGATTTGACAACATGCACAAAGAAAGGCAAAACAAGTCCTCTACCTAAGCTTATATAAAATTAGCTTGATTTTATATAATGTTTCATGTACTATTTTATGTATTTAGCACTTCACAACATACTCATCTGCCTTTCAGACAGATGCCACCTGATTAGGAGGTGCCAAATGGGCCCTGTCCTTGAGGGATCACAGGGAGATGTTGCTGATGAGGGAAACTTCAGAAAAAAAAGGCCCCTTCAGATTTCTTGTATATGCCAGTTGTTTCTTTTGTAAAGTCTACTAATGAATGTGGCATACTCTCTTCTCAGTAAACCAGGCACAGTGCCTGCCAAATGGCAGGCGAAAAAGAGCAATTGCTTTTCCTATTGCTCTCCCTCCCCACACCATTTTTCTAGTGAGGCACTCCGCAGGGGAAACAATCTTTCCTCTCTTCAAGGCAAGGATTGTTCTCATTATCCCATTTTATGCTGGCCGTGTAATAGGATGAAGAAGGGACTGTTTAGTTCTTCCTTCCCTGCATGTCCAGGGTGCTGGCCCTCAACCTACTTCTGCAT